GATTATAGAATTGTATTTTAATGTGATTAAAATGTATAATTATAGAATGGACGTATCGAGCGAAATACCAAGAAGCTAATTAATATATTAGATGAATGGTAAAAACAGTATTTATATTACTGTAAAACATGCTTATTTCTGAATTATTTTTTGGGCAAGGTATATGTGAAAAACGTTGGATTTTAATTCTTCTTCAAATTAAATAAATTAAAACGTTATTTTAATTTAAAATTTTGTTTAATTTTCTATAGTTAAAACTGTACAAATTTTCGTTTATACCGTTTGAATTAAAATTACTGACATGAGTCAAGTCTACTAGATGATCCAGAAATCAAATATAATGCATGTCGATTGGCGCCGTTTTGTAATATACAAATTTTCTACATGTAACCATTGCAAATTATTTATTATAAACTTAAAACCCATGTGCATTTGATTTTTAAAATGTAGTAGCTTTTGGATTCAGCGACCATAGCCATTCCTTTAACCACCATTGTATTATCCAAAGGAATTAGCTTCTTTTTTTTTTTTTGATAAATGACATTTTCTAAAATGACATCAGAACTTCAGCTTTACCTTTTAAGCACTTACGAATATTGTAAGTGCAATTGCTCTAGATAATTCAACTTTTTCTCGTTCAGCGTATTATCTCAAAGAGCCCAAGATTCTGAGTTTCAAGTCATTTAGAGAACGTTTCAATTACATCTTTCTTTGGTATGCCCAAAATGCAAGTGTAGTTCATAGGCCAATGGGATTTTTTTCCCAAATTTAGTTATATTATAATTTGTGGTTGTTTAATTATCTTGAATGAGACCAGATATAAAGTATTTCATACATTTTGAATACATAAGAATTTTTGCAGGCAACACATAAAAATAATATCAATTTATATTGATTAATTTGTAATGCATTTAGTGTATATTCTTTGGTGATTGCAGATCAGTTTCATGTGCTGAATAGTTAATCATATTAATGTTTCTAAAAGTTAACGAAAAGTGAGATTGATTTAATTTGAATTACCTTATTAAATTATTGAGTGCCTAAATATATATTGTGCAATGACAAACTCTCTGATTTAGTGCTTCAATTAGTTACCACGAAATTCGTTTTTATTCGATTTACAAGTATATTAATCAAACTACCATTCCTGTAAACATCATTGTGAAGACTATTGCGTTAGTGTTTGAATTTTCAACATTATTTTAATTCAAAGTTCACTAGTACTAGCTCACAGTAGTAACGGGTTTCATTGGAAACTTTAAATTGAGGCCATCGGGATTTTTCTTTCATGACTGCACAAATATATCTTGTTGAATTTTTTGTGTAAACTGATCGCGAAATTTTCACTATCTTCATAATTTTTTTTAGTAATTGTCTGATTGTGATCTCATCCAAAGTAAAATTAGAAACGAAATAAGAAAATACAATTCACTTACGGCATAGTATACTTATATTCTGGTCATACCTCGTAGTTTCTTATAACTGTGGTTGCTTCCATGAGCCATAACATAACCACAGTAAGCAATACATTCAAGCTAATACATGATATGTTGGCCACTCTAAAAGTAACAAGTCATTTTAAATGAATTCCGACTTACATTTGATAGTAGTTTACTTAATTTCAGTATAGATGAATTTTTTTTTCAGTTAAAATCATTATTAGAAATTTGATATTTATATTTTTTTTAATACTGTTGACTTCTGCATCGAATCGATGATACGAGCAGAGTGTCAAAAAAAAATTAAGAAAAATAATTTATTTAAAATAAAAGTTTGTCTATTTAGCCAGCCTTATTTTTTAACCAGTTTAGGTGTAAAAATTATACTCGTTGTTTTACATTATTGTTTTTATAAGTATTTCTGTAAATGTATTCAAATAATAATAAAGAATTTGGAATACTTTTAAAATGCATTTTACTTCAGGAATTTAAAATAGTTTTATAATTATATCTGTATTTGAAAAATAAATGCTTCAAAAATTTTTAAAAATAATTAAATTTTAAATATTAGCGTGCAATGCTAGTGTTATCTGATGGAATTACAAAATTTTGTTAAAATCCACAAATGATCCACATTGGCATTAATGTATTTATAAATTAAATTAAGATGTATATTATCTATAACATATAATATTTAGGGCGTTATAGAGATAAAGGGAATTTTAAACAATATACAAAATTACTAGTGGGTTGTAACGTTTTCCTATCGTTGATACTGTGCATAATACAAACAATTTCGTATATCTAGCCTTTGTTCTTCACTTATGTCGTTTTTTACTATTTTAAAAATGTTTTTAAAATATAATGGATACTGATTAGTCTCTTAAATTACCATGAGACAAGTACATAACCCGTATTAAAATTGACAACAAAGTATTTTTTCTTTTTTGTGTTACATTTTGTACTAATGGTTCATTTACTAGTCGATAGAACCACAATATTTTGTAAGTGAAACATAGAATTACTATATTTTTCAAATGGGAACACATGTCTTTAATTTAATAAAATTATTGAGTTTTATTTTAATAATAAATGGCATTTGATTTTTCAATGTAATTTTATTTGTTTATTATATACAAAATTTTAAATTTTCAAATTTTTGAGTTAATATATATATAATATATGAGGGTTTTTTATGACAGATATGCTTAAATATATAGCCCTAAGAAACATTGTTATGAGTTAACACTTATAAACATAGCCACTGGCAATATAAAAAATATATCTGTTGACATGATTCTGTATACATATTTTTTTAAATAATTTATTTTGATTTATGCAATGCAACACAACAATTATATGCGAAAACACTACCAAATTGCAAATATATAACTTAGCAAATAAAAAATCTTATGAACACAGTTTAATTTGACTTTTTCAAAAAATAATAATAATTTTTTAAACAATCAATTAAAAGAAAAATCATATTTAAACTTTGCTCAATTTTGATAACAAAAATTTCCAAACATACAAATAAAAATTAAATTTTTTTAATTATTAATTAGTTATTGATGAAATATTTAATGAAAAAAATAACAAACATTTTTTCTTCAGGCCCTAGCTAAAATTTATCTTTTTTACTAATACTTAAAATTATCTGTTAGAATATAAAAAAGTCAATTTTCCTAAAACTGTTATTAATTTTGGTATTTACATGCATATAACTTCGATGTCTATAAATAAATATTTTTGAAAAGAGCTTTTTAGAATTAGAATTTTAAACATTTTACATAAGTCGTAGTTAAATCATAAGATTTGTGAAGAGTTTGATGCTATCGAACACCTAGTAAAAAAGTTAATAATATATTAAAAAAATTTTACTTGTAATATTAATGATCAAACTACATATAAATAAGTGTAATTTATGTTCATATTCCAATAAAACAAAACTTAAATTATTGACTAATTCTAGAATAAAAGAAACTAAACAAATTATTTTTAAGCTATCTATTGATATATACAGAATGTTCAGTAAGTAAGGAAACAAGTCAGTTGTTATAATAAATGAGAAAAATTGAGCCCGGTTTTGTACTTACTGAATAACCTATTTATAGATATATATGCATATATTGATAGTGCAACTTTAGTTTATGTCTGAAAATTGTGTTAACTTAATTGAAAACTTAGCCAAACAAAAATTAAATTGTAAAAAAGGATCATTTTATTGATAAAAATGAATATCCGTATTCAGGGTAATTTTTTTTTATCATAACCCGCTCAATTACTTACAGAATAAAAATAGTTAAAACATTTTTTTTTTTTTTTTGGTTATCTTCAGTTACACATTATTCTTGAAATATTAACTATGGAATACTTTTTAAATTTATCCCTTATGCCTTGTAAGGATGTCAAAATTTGTTTTTTTAAATGGGATCACATTTTTTGAATTTAATAAAATGTTTGGGTTTATAATTTAATAGTAAATGGCATTTGAATATATAAAACAATTTTATTTGTATATTAGATATAAAACTTTAAAGTCTCAAATTTTTGATTATATACACGTATATATATATATATATATATTCATTTTGTTGAACATTTTAATTTTGCCGTTGAAATTGAAAGTTACCATAGGGTGGATGAACTTATAAATAACCTTACATCCTTTTACAATATACTATAAGTAGAATTATAGTAAGTTTGAAATAAAAAAATTGTGTATAATTAGTGATTAGTTAAAACATAATACTAATGCAGTTTACTTGTTTCAAAGTTGCTTAATCGATTTAATCTTATATGCTTAATGTGCTCTTAGCTAATTACTTTTTTGACGAAATAAGCAGTCAGTATAAAAACTCTAAAATATGATCAATCTACTCTATCATGAACATGATTTTGATGTAAAATTAGAATGGAATTTCTCAAAACCTTGTGGTAGCACGGTGAAACTGTCAAAAGAATGACATTGAATTTTTTTTTTTAATAGTGTTATTTGCATAATGGAATTTGATAAATTTAAACCCTTGTAACTTTCAATCAAAGAAAATCACCATCACTATAATGTTACCACATCATAGATATACTTATAAAAAAATTCAGTAAAAATTAAAGGAAAATATTTACGGATACCGAAGTTATACGCATATATAGTTCATAGATTTTAGCAAATCATTAAACTTTAAAATATAAAAAGCTCTTTTCAAAAACTTTTATTTACAGACATCGAAGTTATACGAATATATAGTTCATAGTTTTTTTAAAAATACCAAAATTAATAATCGTTTAATTGATTTTTTTATATTCCAACAAGATAATTTTAAGTATTAGTAATAAAATGATTTGTCATTTTTTTGAATTGTTACATAAAAAAAGTGAATAATAGATATATAAAGCTAATTAAGGAAAAAAAATTAATTTTAGCATGAACGTTCATTAAAACTATAGTAAATTTCTATTTTACTATTAGATATAAAAATAGAATAATAAACAACAAAAAATAGAACGATAAAATTGATGGTAACGAATATTGCGAAAAAAATGTTCTCTGGCTAAATAGTATCAGTATTATTTTATGTTAAGTTTATTTCAGTGTTATTCAACACTCTGTTTGTAACGTTGGTTTGACGTAAAGGCTCGCTGACCTAAAAAAAAATTGTTTTGATAAATTAAATTACTGAAAATGTTTTTAACTAAAACCAAATTTTCGTCTGTAGCGAAATTTTATAAACTGTTATCAGGAGTATGTCAACGTTCATATGCAGAACTTGTTCCTTGTAGTCCAACTGGTGTATCACCGTCTTTACGTGGTCTAGTTTTAGGATGTTATGCTCAAAAAGGAGATTTGACTGGAGAAACATTGTCCTTGACTGCCGCAGCGAGTAATTTTAACAACTCCGTTGAAGGTAAACTGATGGAACAATTAAAAATGGCCAAACCACCTCCAGCTAGGGGTGATGTTCGAACTTTTTTTGGTCTTAATCAAATTTTTCCATATGTATCTGTTGTGGGATTAGACGATGGATGTCTCGGATATAATGAGACGGAAGGTATAGACGAGAAAAAAGAATGTATAAGAAACGCTGCTGCTTTAGGCGTTCAATCTTTGCAAAATTTCGATGTACAAAAAATATTTCTGGAAGATTTTACTTCTGCCGAAAGTTCAGCCGAAGGAGCCTCAATGGGCATGTGGGCTTATCAAGACCTTAAATCTCGTTCTACTTGGAAAAATATGCCTAAAATAGAACTACATGACAGTTGTGATTGGACAGGTTGGCAAATAGGTTTACAAAAAGGTTCAGCACAAAACTTGACCCGACAATTACAAGAAATCCCAGCTAATTTACTTTCTCCAAAAATTTTTGCACGAAACGCTGTAACAATTTTATCAAATCAAGGTATTGATTTGGTAGTAAGAGGAAAAAATTATATTCAGTCGAGAAACATGAATGGGTTGCTTGCAGTAGCTAGCGGTTCATGCGAAGAACCGCAGCTTTTGGAAGCTACATATGAAGGCTGTGATTTAGATGTACCACCTATAGTAATGATAGCTCCTGGTATGACTTATAATTCAGGAGGTCTAGGTTCTTTAAGATATTGCGATGATCAAAAACAAGCAAGGGGTGAAGTATCAGGAGCGGCTGCACTAATGGCTGTCCTAAGAGCTGTAAGTGCTCTAAAAATGAACCTTAATTTGAAAGTTTTAATACCATTGGCTGAAAATGTTATTGGTGGCGGGGCTATGGAGCCGGGATCTGTCATTACTACAAAGAGTAAAAAAACAGTTGCTGTCGTAGATACCGTAAAGGCAAGTCAACTGATGGTGGCAGACGTCATGACAATGGTTGCTGAGTCTAAAGGCTGCTATATTCCAAAATTAGTAATTGATATCGGACCGTACGTGGATGCTAATGAAATTTGGTCTACTCTAGCACTTGGAGTATTTACTCAAGATGATTCATTAATGGAAACAATGAAAGCAGCTGCAATCCACACTGGTGATCGTGTTTGGAGGTTACCTCTCTGGGAACAAGCCCGTGTTCAAATGCGTTCACCATATCATGCCGATTTAATAAATTCTGGGCCCGTTTATGGTGGTCATGCAATGCATGCTGCTGCATTCTTAGAAGAATTTGTACCTAGTAATGCACCATGGTTACACTTGGACAATAGTGGTTTATTACGTACAACTGGCCAAGATGCAGCTTACTTAGCACCTGGAATGTCTGGAAGGCCAACACGTACAATTATTGAACTGTTAGGGCAGATGACATGTGATAGTAATTCGGATAAAAAGAAAACATAAGCGAAATTCTGTAAAGTTTTAAAGTTTTAAACGCAATTAAATTAAATACATTTTATATAGAACGTTTTTCATAATTTCCAATCGTTATAATGATTTCCCTGTTAATTTTTTTTATCAAAATTGACAACTTGTTAAAAGAAAAATAATAATCCTAACGAATTTATGTAAAGCACTATATCCATCTTTTTTAAATTTATAAATAGTAAACATCACAAACGAGGGAAATTTTTTCAATTTTTAAGAACAATATCTTCAACTAGATAAAATTTGTGATATTTTGAGGAATGGGTAAAAGAAATCAGTTGGATGAGAGCTAAAAAAAAGGGTGACAAACATAAAAAAAAAAAATACATCATAGTAAAATTATACCTTCTCATCTTCGCATCAAAACGATTATCATAATTTAAGTAGTTTTCATAGGGGTAATCTAACCACATCTTAAAGTTCGGCTCTATTTCTGATTTTTTTCTTCATAGAAGACATTACTGGAGAAATTATTTTATTTTAAAGTGTATTTTTATATTTTACGCTACCAATTATGATACTGATTACTATTTACTTTAAAAAATGTATTGTAGTGGTTTTTCAGCTTAAGATATTTATAGTGCATATAATATTATTATATATATTTACAAATAAATACATACAGTATTCCTATTTTTGACGATAATGCAAAATGTCAATATTTCACAGGAGTCATATTGATTATTACCAATACATATAGAATTATAATTAGGGATACTGTAAATATATATCAAAAATTTGAAATTATATCTGATAAAAAAAAATAGCATCAAATATTCTATTGAGTGTTATTAAATAAACAGAAACGGCATTGGTATAAATAACAGTCTAAAGGATTGATGAAAAAGGTTTATAGTATTTGGCAAGGAGTGATTGAACTTCCTACGAATTAATAAACTCTGAAGATTTTTCTATAATTAATACACAAAATATATTACAAACGTTTGAAAAGATTTTGGGTTATGGCAGTAATGTGAGTATTCGCTTAGATTATCAAAAAATATTTATTTATATGCCATTTTATCGTCTAAATTTCACTTTAAAGTTTAATATATTTTTTTTATCAATTTTTATATCAATTAATTTAATTGTATTTAAATTTAATTTTGTTATATAAATTGATGGGGTAATAATATAGTGACAACGAACTAAATTAGAAACTTTGTGAATGAGTCATCTCAGGTTGTCGAAAAATTATCATAAAAATATAACTATGGCTTTTTGCCATTTGTTAGTTAAAGTGTAACAATAATACACTACAAATATGAACATCTATGGCTTTGTTTGTTATAACTTTCGTTTAGGATTTAAGCTGCTTCTGAGACGACAATCATTATAATTTTCACTCTTTTTCTTAAAGAAAGACAATGAGAACTCTGTATCATAGTAGGAAATAATTATTCGTCGGAAGTTTACATTAAATATACCATAAATAATAAGACAAAAACAATCCAAGTTTGTATTAATGTGCATATGAAAGGGTACCGTAGATTTTCTCGGGAATATTCTAAAACACTTGTTAATTTATTAAACTTTTTAAAAATTAATAAATAATTTTATTTATAGAGGATTCTCAAAAAAACATAGAGATGTTAGTATATCTGCTTATTTTTTACTGTCTGTGAGTAGTGGACCATACTCTAGTTTATTTATTTGAGTACCGGTTTATATTATTGATTTGTTTCAATATAATTCATTATTTATGGTCTTTAATTAGATTTGATACATTTCTCATTAATAATACTGAAAAATAAAAAATCAATATACAATTTTTAAAATAAATTTAGATAATATTTCGTAGTATTAAATCATATGAGTATATAATTTTATTCAATTTTTTAATATAAGGAAAATAACTTCTACTTTAATAATTCTAAACAGTTTTGAGAAAGAAATTATATTATGTTTAAATCTATTCAATTTTGTACAATATTCTCATTTCATCCCAACAGTATTAATATTCTTGTCTGGATATTTTTATACCTTCTAGTTTGTGGAAAAAAACTGATGTGGACCCATAAACGCAAATGAGATCCGTCTGTCATTTAACGGGGTTCGAACCACTGATATTGCATGTTTCATTGATATTTTAATATATTTTTCAGACGATAGAAATTAAAAGAATATTTTATTAATATAATCTCATGAAAAATAAATGTAAAAACAAAATTAGATAATCATTGTATCATAAAAAAAGTTGCACTATTCCCAAATAAATATTGAAATTTTCTACTGTATTAACAACATTTAAAATTTACACAACAATAATTGTGTTTTAAAATCTAATTAATTTATCATTATTATTATTACGTACTTTTAAATAAAATATTTTGGATGATCATTTGATTTGTCAGCATTATTATATAACAATAAATTTGAAAAATTACTTGTAGACTTCAATTTTTAACCTTATATTTTATTTTAACTGTATTATTACGAAATTAGTTATATTATCATTGAAATTTTTTGTATCATACAAAATAATATTTTACTTCATAAAAAAAAAAAAAAAAAAAAATTAAAAATTGACGTTTTGAATTCAAGTTCCTAATTTGTACTCTTTATTAGTTTACAGAATTCAAGCAATGATCAAAATCAATAATTTTTAAAATTACTCCATAAATAGTCTTTTCTTGTTAATGATATAAATATTTAATTAATGACATTGTAAATAAGTGTATTAAATTAAATGTCTAATTATATATTGTGTAAATAGAAATATTTAAGAATCGAAGATCATAAATTACTAATGTAATGAAATATATTCATAATCCATTAGTATAAATTACAAATGCTGTTTGTTTTAATCATAGCTGACTTAGTTATACTGTAAAATCTGCGTTACAAGCACATTAAGCCTCAGTTCTTAAGAACTTAATAGATTTATCTACCTTTCCTTATTCATGCATTAAGTTACTTATCTGGGTTAACGTTAAAACAGGTATTAAAGTTATAATAATATTATAACATTATTAACAGTCCATAATGATATAGAGTTGATAATCGAAAATATAATAATATTATTTTTAATTTACAAAGTTAAATGATAAACTGTTTGACACAATCGAAGAACGTTTAGTTTTGAGGTAATGTTCTTTAATTTTTTGTAATAATCATGTAAAAACACGGCTGTTAATACTCTATAAATTTAGTTTTGTATTTTTAATTCCTATAACATGTCTCCTGTGTGTTGTGTTCGTGTAGTCTAAAAAGGTTATTTAAATGCTCTCTAAGGAACATTTTTTTTTGTGTTTTTGCTAGCATATTTATAGGTAACATAAAAAAACCATAATTTAAGTTCGGATTTAGATAGAAAACATCAATTTGTTATTGTTCTTTATATCTTTGCTGTCAATGCAAAAACAGATCTTTTAGAACAATAGTCTTGTTAAACTACCGCTTTAAAATACTTGCATTAAAATACCAATTGACAAGTTTATTTGTAGTCTGGATAAAACTTTAAAATATTCGAAAAAAAAATTGTAAGTAAAAATAAAAATATTAAACAAATAATGAATGAATACATTTATTATAGATGGATCTTTTTTACTAAGAATATAAAAATAATTTATTTTTATTGGTTATTATTACCTTTTTAATAATGAAGCTTTTAGCGAAGAATTAAAAGCAAAATTTAAATGTCATTATTTTTTTAATATGTTAATAGAAATGTATAAAAATTAAATGTATTCGTCTTGAGTCATATTTTACTGAAATACTTCAGTATTCAATATCTGAATAAGAGTCAAGTAAAATAGAGAATATCTTTAAATACAACAAATTAAAATTTTTTTATAATTTTAAAGTCATAAAGATTTAAATTTTTTTTTTTTTTATAAAAATTTTAATTTTAAAGAAAGTTCTATCTTTCTTCAATATTAGAATTATTGTGTTTTGTAGAACATTTTTCTTTTGAATAAAAGGTAGATAAATCTCAAGTATATCGAGTTCTTAAAGCTGTTATGCACTTGTAGCACGTTTATTTTTAAGTGCCTCTCACAATGAATTATATTAATACATTTTTATGCATGGATGTGTCACTATAGCGCTTTTTATGCCCATTATACCAAAATATATGATACCGTAAGATAAGTTCATAATTTTTCTGTTATTCTTTGGCCTTTTTTTTGAGTAATTTAGATATTATGTTCATTCTAAGTTGAGATTAGAAAACAATTTCTAAATTATAATAATAAAGACGTTTTGAAAACAATAATATTCAAATCGTTTTAGTGACTATTTATGATTGTTTATTCCAAATAAATTATGTAATATATCCAGATTGCATATACATATGTATGCATATGTTTACAAAATACTCAAATTTTTTAATTTGATGGTGAACGGCAAAAAATTATTTGTGTGAAAGTTTTTAAAAAAGATTATATGTCATACATGTTTTAGTATAAATTTATGTTTTTCTGTTAGAAACAATTATAATGTGTAATGAAGTGCATTTGTGTATGTTTGTGTTAGTTGATGCTGTTAATTTCTAACCTCGGTTTTTTAATTATAATGTCTTCTCTTCTTTGTTCCCAGTGTGTATGTGCTTGACTAACATGCACATGTATTTATTGACATCTCCACTTGTATGATTAAAATGATCACTAATGCTTAATGTAATAAACTTTTGTTATGTAAATAACAAAACAGTTTTTATATAAATTTTTTCAAGGAACTTTGACGTTAATTTCTAATCTGGCTTCCGATTTGTTCTATGATATATAGTTTTTTATTTATTAATTAAACGATAATTATTTAGTTAAATCTTCATAAAAAAAAAATATATAGTTTTTTTTAAACATACCTAAAATTATTTCATGATGTGTTAAAAAAAATTGTGTAAAATTTGGGGCTGTTCTATCAAGTTTAACCGTTTTTTTTTTATATTAAAAATTGAATGTCAGTGTTAATTTTTCAAAAAAAAAAACAGAATTTTTGAGTACAAATTTAATTTAACGAGCAGCACTTAGTTATGGTAGTCATAAATTTATAACTCTACAAAGTTACATTCACAATCAAATAGCTTCATTAATTTTGAATTTGACATACTAACGGTATAAATTTACGAAAGTCTGACAAAAGTTTTTTTAAATTAAAATTAAGTTTAGGTAGGAGAATATTGATTATTTTATAATGGTATCGATTAATTAAATTTTAACAAAACATTTTAAGTACTATTATAAATAAACAAACATTCGTATCATCTTCGAATTGGAAAAATAGAGTTATTTAATGAATGTATACATTTTAGCTTGAGAAAATTATTTTGCCAGTACACTATAATTACGATATATATATAGTTATAATTAAAATTATTAATGTTTGATAACTTAAGTTGGAGACTATTATATATATCGAAATTAACATAAGTACTTTTTAAGATAAATCAAACGCTAGAATATAGCAACACGAGTTAATTTGACACAAATATGGTTGAAAGTCTATGTTATAAATTCAAACTAAATGAATAAACCGTTTATCAATAGAAACACCTTTGAGATATATCCTCTTAGAAAGCCAATTAACATAATGAAAAAACTTTGGTCATTATAATTTCAATTTAAAAGAACTGATTTAAAACTAATTATTTTTACTTTAAAAATTACTTAATATATTTTTTTATTGTACCATTAAAAACAAGAAAAAGTAAGTGGAATGTTTCTAAAGATGTTAAATGCAAAAATTTAATAAGTGCAAATTAAACATTAAATAATTTGAACCTTGTACTTTATTGGATTCTATTTGATATTGATAAAATTAATTAAATTTTTTTGTGTGTACATTTAAAATTAAATAAGAGAGATATCTTTGAAAATAACCCGTATAAACTGTAAAACTAGGATGAGATCAATTCATTTGCCATTATCCCCACGTTTCATTGAAGATAGGTACACTCGTTCGTGCGACTCTTTATACTTTTAGCTTTGTGTTTCCCTATCTTTTTCTTCTGTGCTTTTAAACCAAACAGCACGTACAGGTTTTATATGGTCCTTCTCGGAGAGGAATCAAATTCAGAGAGGGTTTATTATACCATCAGCTCTCTTGGGAATGAGAATCACTAGACTTATGTCTGTTATAAAAGTCATCCTGCTATATACCCTATATGGTTTAGGTTTTTGAGTAGGCGCAGTTAATCAAAAACCAGTCGAGTTGATATAAAGTGTCGGGTTAGTTGAGCCATAATATAAGTGTTTTAGAAGTATATAAATTCTAAAACAGTATGAATTCCAAAAAGGGTTTATAGTTAAATGGTGTCTGAGACTATAAAATATTGTGATATTACATTTGCTACTGTGAGTATACTATAATTTTGTGTCAAAGTGTGTTTATTTATTGATTTTAAATAAAACATTTTACATTATAGATATTCAATTAGAGGAAACCATTATGATTATTTCATTTATTTTTAACAATTTTATGTTTGATTATTCAAAAATGTTTTTTTCGAGGAAGTATATTCAATAGCCTATTTACTAAGAAGCAACTATAATTGTATATTACAACAAAGAACTCAAGTTTATGTTGTCAATGATAATTATTTTTATGACAAGATGTAGAAAACAATTTGATTTGTTTTCTTAAATATAATTTTACAATTAACATTAGTAAAATATATGAAAATGAATATTTCTCATTAAATTTATTTTATATAGTACTTCAAAAGTAATAACAGTTATTTGAAATCTTCAATGTCAAAAACGAGCTTCAGAATTTTGTAGTGAAATAATAATTGAGTGTTGCAGAATTTGATGTAACATAGTAATGAATTCTTCTGACAATGATTGGATTATCTTAACCTGAGTAATGGAAATGTAGTTAATTATTCTTATTTTAGAATTTTGTTTTTTAGCATCGATGCAAAGCTGAGGAGGTATTAATTTTACTATGATGTGTTTTTTTTTTTACCCTAAGTAGTTGGGATTAAGGCGAGGAAGAAGAAGGAGTGTTTTTTTTTTAATGTCTATCGCCACTTTTTCTCATCTCTAAATGGACCGATTTCTTTCAACGATACGTCAAAAGATCACAAATCGTATCTAGTTGAGGACATTATCCTTAAAAATTAATAAAAATTTGTTTGTTCTCCGTAAATGGGATGAATTCTCAAAAAAATTACAATTTTTAAAATCAGTAAATTTCGAAATTTTTAAGCTTTTCTTTTTTTAAATTGCCATAACTTTTTTAATAATAAATAAATCAAAATAATTTTTTTTATAATGAAACCTTAGGTATTTTACGTTTATTTGATATAAATTTTTAGAAAATTCGACGTATTTAATTCAAAATAGCAACTTCTGTACAAAAATTTAACTTTTACAACTAAAGTTTTGATATGTTCCGGAAATATTTCAATTTTCAAACATATGTTAAAATAAAGCTTAAGTTATGTATTATAAGTTAAAAAAAAAAATTGTGCCGGACGATTTATTTTCCATGTGTAAATGATTGCCGTATTTACATGCCATTTTTGTGTTAAAATTTTTTTTTATTTCTTTTAAAATATCTTATAAAGTTTTCCCATAGTAATGAGGCAACCAATTTTTATAAATGTTACATGAATATAACTTATAATAATTATAAATTAAAATTTATTTTGATTATTTGCCTCCTGGAAATTAAAAAAAGTGACTTTTCTGAAATTTTTAACTAGCTTAAATTGTTCTTTACCTAATATTTCATGCACGTACTTCATGGCAGCGTCGAATTTCATATAATTAGAGTATAAAAGTTGAATCCCGTCCATTAAAATAATTTTTTTTATCTTAATTCTTTTTTGACGTGGAAAAAAATTTAAATTTCGTTTGATTTTTATTTCATTTAGAGTGAATAACTTCAATGAATATCAAGGACACCACCACTGTAGTCTCCTTTTGCGAAAAGGAATTTCTTATTCATATTAGAATATTTGACTATATGGTTTTTTATTTGTGTTTGTCATTCATTTTTCTCAACTCTCAACTTCTCATCTTTAAACAATATATCAAATGATCACACTAGTATCTAGTTAAAGATATTATCCTCGTTGCTTATGGACTAATTCACCAATTTCTTAAAATTGAACACTATCTACATATTTGTATCGAAGCGTTTTTTTATGATACTGATTTTAATCACTGTTAGATATTATCTATACTTTTGCCGACTAAGCCACGACCCCACTGTGCTACCATTTTTTTTGTCAATAAAACTTTAAGCATAGCGTTATGGAATTTGGATTATTATTTTACTTTACATAATGTCAAATACATTCGATTTTTTTCAAAATAAAAGAGTGAGTCATTATAATTTCTGGGATTGCAAAGATTTAATTCTAGATTTTAATTAGAAAATATCAAAAAAGGTGTCTTTGTTTAAATGAATATTTAAAATGCTAAAAATTGGTTATTCAAGCATTCAAAAAAATAAATAATGTAAAGTTGAATGAATAACGATTTATACTGAACTTTTAAGTACAGGAAAAAAAAACGATGAGATTAAAAATAATTTTAGTAAAGCGAAAAATTAATTATGTACCTTAGTTTTGTTCGCTATGTAAATTTAAAACATCAAAGAATTTTTTTTATAAAATTAAAAATAGATTAATGTTGAATAAGCATTATCACTTATGGTGTATTTAATTTTAACGTAGATAAAAAAAACCAATGGTCTGTAATTACTCAAATATTTGTTTATAATAAAAACTAAGTATAAATGATATGCCCACTAGAATAATGCTAATAATTTGATAACAAGGAATATTTATGTGCGTTAAGTATGCAAATCATATTCTGAAAAGTTGTGTAATTCTTATATACATACTCGGCTTTTAAAAAAATCAATGGAAATAATTGGATTAGTTTTGTAAAATTTACATCAAATTAAGACTTTAATGAAGTATCTTGAAATTCATTTCACTATACCCAAAGTAATTAGTTTGTCTTTTGTTGAAAAACTATCACATAGCATGAAAATTGAACCTTTGTTGTTATATGATAAACGCTTGATTTAAAAAGTTATAAAGAAGTTAAATTGACAGTAAAACCTTTGACACGAAAAAATTTTTGACTGAAATAAAAAACAAGTGTTAAACTTTTTCGAAAAAGACTTGGAAAGTTACAATGTGTTTTGTAAGAAACAATTTGGTGGCATGCAAACATTTGGCAGATATAAATTCGGTCTAGGCAATAAATAAAAAAAATGATGCTATTATCTTCGACAAAGTACGTTTTGAATCATTATTCTTAATGTAAACGGCAATCAGCTAAAATGAAACATTCTAATTGCTTTTCCATTAATTTTTTAAACCTTATCGTCATAATAAATATTATTTTTAATGTAATGACATTTTTATTGTAAGCTTTCGGCCAAAGAAAATTTCAATATTATAAATGTTCAATATTATCTTTAAATAATTTACTGTAATTCGTCGGTGTAGAATCAGAGAAATGTTTAAATAAAAAATTTTTTTTATTTTTTTAGACTGAATTATTTAGTATTTTTCGTAGAATTGGTTATATAATGACATAAATCTTATGAATTATAATTTAAGTACTTCTAAAATGACGTGGTTTAAAAAAAATTTCCACAAAAATATTTAGAATAATTGTTTGTAATAATAATTTTTTTTTTGTTCCTACGATCCTCTTTTTCTACACTGATGAGTTATTATAGATACAATTAAAATGCGTTTGGAGATGATTTTATTTGATTTGATTTACCATAGTAATTATTCTTTCTATTTGAAAATTATAACCAAACATATATTGTGTAATTTTAGAACTTCTCTTCACACTTTTTACAGCCAAAATAATTAGTTTTCGTACGTCATCATGCGAACTGTTTATTACATATATTTTTAATAAAATTCAATTTAACAAAAATAACTCAAAAATATTTTTACCTATTTGTGTGGGTAGACTGTACGAGGTAATTAAATCGTAAAAATATGGAGGTAGCTGAATTTAAATATAAAAATAGCTTTCTGAAAATACATTTCTTTGAGAATTTCTTGTAAAATTGAAATAAACTATAAATTTGTCTTGTTTTGTTGTACAGCTGAAATTATAATTATTCATTTTCGAAACATATTTTGGTTTTCTCGTATGCGAATTTTTCTAAGCCAACGTTTCATTTTTTACAGATTACCTTTAAAAACACATTTAAAAATATTGTTTGAGCAATATACTTTAAATGTTTATGTAAATAGTTAGAATAGAAAATTTGAATTTAATCAGTGTAACTTGATCATTTATAGTGATAACAGTTTTATGATAATTGAAATGGTACGAGAATATGCACAACATATATTGTTAACTATAAATAAATATAACTGTAATGAATGTAGAATTTTAAGTAGTATGTTTATTAGGTACATAAAATATTTGTTGATGTAAAAAAGGTGTACCATTAATGCATTGAAAGGTACCTATATTTTTTTTTAGAAACTATTAATTTTTCATTGTTTAAAAAGAAAACGAAAGTTTAATTTTTCTTTCCCGAAAAGTAAAGAATTGGTTGATGATCTTCTTTAAACAATTTTAATAATTAATTACTCGAAACGAGCAAATTATTTTCAACAAAAGTTTTTAGCGCGTACTTAACGAGTATATTACAGTATCACATTCAGTGTGAAATATTAAGAATGTTACCCCTCCAGTTTTTTTGTTAGTTAACGATTTTGGTTCTGAGCTCTTCGGTTACTCGTTTTCAATTGCAAATCGACGCGAGTAAATATAATAAAAGATGCGCAGTTGTATTCTGTGCAAATTTAATGCAATATCAGTTCTACATACCTTTGCACGGCCAGAGCTAATGTTAGCCAAATGGACGCTGTGTGGAACATGGTGGGTATGACTTCGTTCATGGCATACCACGCGTAGCAGGATTCAACAGGCGACAGTGGTTTGTAATGGTTGCCCAAAGTGTACATGTAGAATAGCCATGGAGCTGGGAACAGCAGAGTGAACATGTCTGACAAGGCCATGCACATGAGGACTACATTTGTCGGAGTCCGCATGTGACGTTTGGACAGGACGACGACAATTAAAGTGTTTGCTACAATCGTGACCAAAAGAAGCAAAGGCATGACGAACCCGTACATGGGTCTAGCGTACTCAACGGGCATCTCGTGGGTAACGTTAAGGTAAGGATCTGAACCGTTATCGCAACACTCCACTCCTTGTGGTTCTTCGGTAACCGCAATACCCGTCAACGCCGTTACCGTTGTTAGGTTTACCCCGTACAACGGTACAACTGTATAGTTACTATTGTCGTCCATAGCTGTGATTTGACTGTCCGGCGGCGGTATTTAGCCTTTGGTCAGGCTCGTGTTGGGAGACGCACTGCAGCTAATAGTTCGGTCAATACGGTCGAATCATTTCCTCGGCATTTATTGTGGTATAATGTGTTTCACTGCAGCTGGCAATCACTTAAATGTTGGCAATGAAAGTAGATGCGCTTTTCTTCAAATGGACTGATAGCTGGCACCGTCTGTAAAAGAACATAAAAATCAATCGTTTAACATGGTTTACAATCTGTTACAACAATTGCAATGTTATATGATGCAACACATCCAATAAACAACAATCGTTACATTGTTTACGATAGTGTTAGATGTGAAATTGACATCATAAATAAATATTAATATGTATTTTCATAAGTTTTACTACAAACATCTCACTTAAAATATTTTTATATTTAGCATAAATATTTTATTATTGTGTACGCTATAAATTCAATATTGTCAAACGCATTAATATCGTATAATCAATTCAATTGTAACATTGATAAACATTTTAAAATAATTTTTTCGATTTTCATATGAAAATATTGTGAAATATGAACAAAAAAATATTGAAACAATGTATATTTGACAAGTTCATAATATGAACTGACAATATATACAAATTCATAGTAACATTAATTACATATTATATTGAAAACGATTATTATTGTCATTGCCATGCTACACAACTCATTATTAAATGATTAAATCAGAACTTCTTGATCATATGCATATTTTACTTATTTATGTACAATTACTTCCCTTGCTCATTACTTCCGCTATTTTAATTAATAAGTTTTCAAATTATAGATATTTTCAGAAATCTTATTTACATGCTGCGCTCTGATTTTAAATGTATTTGAAATTGATATATTCTTGTTTACTATCAGATTTTTATCTGAAATTATTCGTGGATTCGTTAGTAGTATAACTGATTAATTTTTTTTTATGAAAATTTTAAGTAATTTTAGAACAAACATTGTGTTTCAAGAAATAATATATGATTTTTCTCTCGAGAAAATTATATTATAATACAATTCATTTCGATCATAAAATAGATTTAATTTTAACGATAATTTTTGTTTAGATAAACATTAATAACAATTCAAAGGAATAATAATTACTAAGTTTTGAAACCGAGTTGAAATGATGTGTATGATAAATTGGTGATTGCTTTAAATTTAACTACCAATAATATGACTGAGACAAGCAGTTTGATAAACATACGTTTTGTAATATTTTTGGCCTTATTCGATTTATCGCTGAAAAGATTTTACTATATCACATTTGATTTATTTTTTTTGTGTATGTCCATAAAAATACACAAATATTGGCCCAATTATATTCAACGATACGTCAAAAAATCTCAAACCGTTTCTAATTGATGATATCAGACCATAATTGAAAAAACAGTTAAAAATACTTAAAAGCAATAATGCAATAATTTTAAAATAATTAAAAGTTTGCAGTAATTAAATAAAAGACTTAGTACAGTCAAGAATTTTTACAAAATTTTACTTTAACTTAAACTTTCCGTTAGAATTTTTCAATTTTTTTAGTTTTGTAGAATTTCTTTATAAACAATAGCTTTAAAGTGTTTTTTTAATTATGATTTGTTTTTTAAGAGAAGAAATGTGGAATTGAAATAATTGTAGTAACAATTGTAGTGTTCTGTTAACTTGTATTTTTGTGTTTAGGATTTTCATTGAAGTAAATAAATTTAGAAAAGGGGGAAAAAAAAACAAAAATCTTAAACCGGATAAAGAATAGAGCAAAAACGAAAAATTTTTTCTTTAGGTCATTTACGTGACATTTCGTATTTGATTGGATTAACAGGAAAATCTTATTGCCGATCTCTTTAGTTTTGTCTCTGTTTTTAAATTCTCTATTAACCACGTATATTGTTTCTTTTGTTTGGATAAAAAATATATAAATGTCCGTGGTATGTTGTTTATTTAGTAATATTGTGTACTAATAAGGCGTCCTTCTGGTAGAACGAATATTATTTTCGTCTTTTATTTGGTATTTCATCAACGGCGCCATCATTAAAACTTACCCAACCTTTTTTTCCATTAAAATGTAGTTTTTTCTTCGCGCTAGACCTTTTTGGATTTTATTTTGTCATCATAGTTGGATGATTTGTTTAAATAAATAACACGGCTAAGAGCTGTCATTTATTAAAACTTGTGAATTTAAAACCCATCACGAGTAAAGGGAGTTTTAAATAAAAGTTTATCAATAGTCAATCGTTATGTTTAAAAGTGTAGGCAACAGAGCCCATTGCCGTCATTAGTGACTAGTTCTACGGCTGACGTTTTGCAAACCTGTCGATGTGTTGCGATAGTTGGTTTTTTCTCTTTGTTTATGAAAATGCGCTCTTAAAATGATTTATGGGTGTTTTTTTTACAGGAGCTTTACTGAAAAAAAATTAACGAGCACGTTGATCACAATATCATAACATTGTATTATTTTTTTATTTTCTTGTCAATTAAGTAATGGTTCCTTAACATTTTTAGAATGCGAATCTTTTCAAATTATGGTTTGAAACTGTAGATCACTGACTACCAGACCAGAACAGAAGTATAATTTGTCATAAAATTATCATTAAAAATGCTGTCATATCTTGGCGTTAGTTATGCAATTAGTGTAATTGAATATATATATATATATATAGTGGAAAGAAGTTCTCTGGCCAATAATTTAAGTAGAATTACTTTAATAAATTGAATTTGAGACATTAATGATAAAAACGGAATTGTGAGTTATATGAAAGTAAAAGATAATTCTCGATGAATGATAAATTACACATTTCAAATTGACTTCGAATGTCAAGTACACTTGGATAATTAACCATTGTTTTATTTACTTTGTATGTAATTTGATGCAGCTCAAAACCACTACGATCAATCTTAATTACATAATAGATTTTTTCTTTTACGTCACGTTCGAGCTATTAGATAAAAGTTTATATTATTTTATTACTCCGATCACCTTACTGTATTAATAAAAATGTGAACTTAATCACGTTTGCGAACTGAAAGACATGAAAAAATTGTGATGTCCACTTAAATTTATATACCTCGAAAATCCCATAAAGATCGACTGTTTTGCTGTTATTGAGATATGCTTGAAATATTTTTAATTGCATTTTACAGCTTTAGCTTTATTTTTATTTCAATGTCAATGCTTTTTGTCAATGTTCTGACTATGTGTATATTATACGCACATAGGAGGCTTGCGGTCTTAAATAAAATTATAATTTTGACCCAGAAGTTACAAAAAAAAAAAAAATTCTATACACTCAACTCAGTGTGAACGGTATTCTCTATGGTATGAAATGAAACATTTTATCTGATTGACTTACTGTCGGAAAAGTTATAACGAGTCGCTAAATGTTAACAGAAGTGATTCCTTACCACTTTTCTTCATCTTCAAAATCTTTGTTACTCTGTTTCGATTGTCGCGTATCACGTTGTTCGTTTGTGTTTTAAATTTCAACTCGCTACACTTGCATTTTGAAGTTGACATCAGTTAGAATACGAGAAAAACGGTAAATCTTTACGCGTGCGAAAACACTGAGATAATGTTTCTACATTGCTTTCTTACTTTTACTTAATCATGTCAACACAATTATGCATTACACGGGCTGACATACCAGCAGCTTAAACAACGAGAAATGTGTTCAATTACCTTTACGGTTGTATTTTACGATAAAAACAGCAGTATTAAATTTAGACAAAATTTCATAGCCAATTTCGCAATAATATATTCTAGGTGAATATTATTCAATTTTCAGTTAATGTTTATTATTTATTCACACTGTTTGGTTGAAATGTTTATCGGATACATTTTCTTATGAAGAATACGAATTGTTAGAAGATTTTTAACACTGCCCAAACATATTGTTTTTTCCCTTGAATGCTTTAACGATATTTGTTGATTCTAAAAGTCAAATATTTTTAGTGTCCAAGTAGTAAACAGAAAACCTACCTACTGAGCATCATCTATTCTATGACAATATAACCTTTGTTGACGAATTTCGCTCGAGGTTCCAGTTAAGTTTGAAGTTTAAAAAGGATGTGGTTTATTTGTTACAGGAAATGAATTTAAACGACAAACCTTACATATGATGAACGTCATTCGTATATTTATTATTAAAATAAAACGAAACATCCGAGAAGTAAATGTGTGCGTTGAAGTTATTCAAGTGTATTTCTTTAAGTGTATTTCTTTAGATATTATGATAAAAAAAAAAAAATTAATTTTCAAATGTTTCAATGCGGTATTTTACTTTCAAAAACCTTAAGTCATTTCCGTAGTAATTTTTTAAAAACCACATGAAGTTTGCTGTTTTAAATTATTTCTATATCAAATATAATATTACTATTAGTACTAACCGCTAGAGTTATAACGCCTGTGCAATATTACTCTCAAAGTTCAATGAACAAAATTAACAGAAACGTTTATTCGAGCAACCCAAGCCGTATGTCGGAAAATTCGCTTAAATTGCTCTATAATGATACATAAACTTAAAAGTGAATTAAATTAAATGATTTTTGTTGACGTTACCAACTCGATTAAAAATGACATCTACAGAAACATAAATTGGACATTCATAATAATTACTACTTTAACCTCTACTATTATGGACCATAACGTCAGATAACGGTGGACGTTTACTCATCAACGGCCGTAGCGATAAGGAGACTTGGTTGTAATGAGTTTAAGGCATTTTTATGAGCTTCCATGTACGCGCAATGAACTTATGACAAAACAAGCGCTTCATTCAGTTCGGGGATAAGAGAAGAAAATGTGAATGCTGCCAAATACGGTTATATTGGAAGGCTTATCTTATTGGTGTTTCGCCCAAATTCTTTCTTTTTCTTCATTTCAGGCTTACATTGGGTAGTATAAAAAATAAATAGCACGACGAATCAACAGAAATCTATCAAATAAACTATACTATTATCAATCCAAAAACGAGAAATATATGTTTTCGTGTAATTTTTTTTCTGTTGTAAATCGATCGCACGTAACGCCATGTGATAAGTACTAAAAGTTAATACAATTATGTATTTATTTCGAGCACATTTTCAACATGAAACATTGCTATTTAAATATAAAATTAACAGATGATAGCTAATTTAATGGTTCAAAGAAACGTTAATTAATTTAACTATTCCTTCAAGTTTACAGTGGAATAAATTCTTGATAATAGTGATTTAACAAAAGAATAAATCTGAGAGAATATTTCTTTGTGAATATTTAATTAAACTTGAAAATTATTTAAAGTGTTGATTATATATTGAATATTTTCGATAGAAAAAAAAACATCTTTTACTTGATTGATAGTGCCATGATCAAAAAAACATTAATAACAGGCTCCGAACCGGACCTGGCGCCTTTCAGGCCAGACGAGCCTTCGATGCGTTAGGCCTTTTGTCTATCCTTACTGGTAGGCCACTGATTCCGTTTGGAGTACCCAACTTCGCCAAGCATAATAAGTGTTATATAGGCAAAATATTACTTCATAATCAGCGTAACAAAATATGGTAAAATTTAAATTATTAAATTCAAAAAATTCAAAAATAGAAAATAGTGAAATGTGTTGGGAATAAGGCTAACATATTTTATTTAGGTATTCACCAGGAGTTAAGAGGGTGATTTATTTTTTTTAGTTTGGCAATTATGCTAGAGAAAGTTTTTTGCTAAAAAGCAATATGATGACCAAAATGGTTTCATTTCGTAGATATCAGCCATAAAAAATATTATAATGATACTTTTATATATGAAAGTCGATTTAAAAATAACATAAATTATAAACGAAACATTGATCATATTCTTTGATTTATTTAAAATAGTTAAAATGTACAAAATCAAAACACAGTATCTGTTTTTTTTTAATTTTACAGGACAATAAATTTTATAAATTTTGTCAGGTATATCATCCTGCATATCTTCTTTTTTATTGTATCATAACTTTAAGAATAATTATGTTAATATTATAGAAAAATTCAGCAGATTTTTATTTTATGGAATATATAGGGCGTTCAGTAAGTAAGCAGACAAGTCAATTGTTACAAACAATGAGAAAAATAGAAACTCGTTTCCTTAATTACTAAATAGCTTACATAAAAAAGTTAATTTTTATTATATTTTTGGTAACCGTGTTTTGGTGTTATACTGCTGAGTTTACAACGATAAGACTTGGATTTTTACAATAAACAAATAAACTTATCATTATATAGATAAATAAGTCTTTAGACAAACTGTATTGTCATAATAATATATGTACAAACTTGGTTATATTCTTATAAATTTGCTGATAATTATATATGTGTAATTTGATTACAGATAAACTAATATTATTTCTAAATGCATATTATCAATTTAGCATTTTTATGAAAAATTAATGTTAAAATGCACAACATACAATGTAATGCGCAAACACAAAACCATATGCTCATAAAAATTAGACGCCTAAAAAGCCCCAGCAATTAGGGCACCAATGTACCGATCATCTATAAAAAAGTCCACAGAACGGTAAAAAATGATCTGATTGAATTTTTTAATTATATCTCAGAAATATCTTTTGACGGGCCTGATGAAAATTTCAGGCGATAAAGTCGTCAGTGTGCATTTCTCTCGAAAGGGTTTGAAATTTTAAAACGTGAGCGAACGAGCGGCCATAATTTTCCGGCCTTTGACAATAAGTTTCTCGGGGTCATGGGACCTGGCACTTTTGTTGAAAAAAATTTTTTTGCATGCTAAATAGTTTTGTGACAAAGGCGTTTTTTTCTTACTCTATTAAATCATACGATTTTCTAAAAAACCTAATTGTTGTTCATACATTAAAAATAGTGCTTTAGCGTAGATGCAAACGAAAGATTACCCCACTTATAATAAAAAAATCTTTATTATTACCATAATATGTTAGCCGTTAAGTTGGCCGTCAAGAATAAATTTGGCTGCTTCTAATAACAACCATCATTACGGTAATTAACCACTAGTTGATACTTGGTTATTTTGTTAATTATTAAAACCGACGATATAATTAAAATTGGGTATTCAAAATATTTAATATGAGCATTTACATATGAGGTTTATTTAGAGAAGAAGATAACTTAACCGCCACATGAAAAACAATTGAGGCGCGAAAATGACTATGTATACATTTGACATTTCGCAGCCTTATTCACATTACTGTCAAGGTATAAAAATGTTATTAAATTCCTAAGTACTGGTCTAATATTTATTATAGGGGTGTAATTTTCTTAATTAGATAATATCCTATTTTTTAAGCTAGTTACATTACTTTGAAAATTCTAAATATTCCGTACATTTGATGATACTCGGTAAAAATATGCTTATGACTCCATACAAGTATCAGTAGATTGTAAGAAATTTAATTATAGATAGTTTTCTTCATTCTTTAGATATTTCCGGTAAAAATAAATATTTGAATTATAAAGATTTTGGAATTTCATAAATTTTTATTAAAATAATCACGTCTGATTTCTAAGAGTAAAGGTTTGGCCTTGGAGTTATTGATGTCTTTATTAGTGTTTAAAGTTATAAATAAAATAAAAACCTAAGTTGTATAAAACATAATGCACGTCATTAGTGTTATACTTGGAAAATATGTTTGCGTTTCACGCAGTTTATTTAGATAATTATTACCCAGGTGAGATTTGAAATTGTTTCTCTCACAACTTTTAAAATTTTACTTCATGTACTACTAAAATATTTATTCTTGAAACACGTTTACACTTGGATGCTTTGACAAAGGGGCATCGATATAATTTTTTTGTAAGATATTATTTTAGTTCAAAAGCACAGTTTAATATTGTATAAGGAAATGGTCGTATAAAAAACGGTACACGTGTGAAATATAAGAAAAATGTCAGATGGTTAATATATTTCCTGTATAATATCAATGAATGTTGTATATTCAAAAAGTAATTCACTCATTTATTGAAAGCTTACCTAGTTGGTAACGTTCCCTATCGAGTCGGTAATATTAAAAGAAAAATTTCTAAAAGAGAGAGCCAAATAAATGATTAGTTCCACAAGCCAATTAAATAATTTGAGACTTTTCGATTGAATACATTACGCGATGACTTTGATAATGAGTACCGGACTCTCGCATATTATTATCCTTTTTTACAAACGAAAAACAACGCGCTACTACACATGCTCGTTAAAACTGACTAGATGTACTTACATTTGTTCACAACGACCCGAAATAAATTCTGAAGTACCGCGCTGTCGTATTCAATACTAAAAGCGTATAGCTAAGAAAAGACCATAGCAAACAAAGCTGAGCGGCATAATTAGAACTACAAGTGAAACAGCGGCACGCGTATCGTTATTTTGGCAGTTGACTAAAAAACAATAGACGGACTAGATTGACGAAGGTTTGGGCCGTAAGAAGATTAAAAAGAATTACGACTGCGAATATCAATTGTTTCGGAAAGTAAATACAAACGCGAACAACATATTTGTTCCAATTAGAGACGGATATTTTTCATCCACATGTAATCTCTGATTCGGTAGATGCATTTTTATATATCAGTATGACTTTGACGAACAGTAGTATAAGCGAGAAGAAAAACTTTTTTAGATGAAATTGACAGTGAGTATATTTATAAATTTCGCGTGGGAAGAGAGCAAGCACTTTAATACCTAACCCAACCACTTATAGAGTCGAATGCTTTTTGACAATACAAAGGATTTGATTTTAACGGTACTTGCTAGTGCTCACGGTAAGGTTTTCGGAAATTTCGATCCCATTGGGAATTTTACTAGATTTTAAGCCGAAGCACGTTCTCTTCAAATCACTATTGTCACAATGTATTTTCACTTAAAATTGTAGACTGAGTGTTACCGAGTACATTGCGATAAATAGAAATTAAATGCTCGTAAAGAATGATTCTTCTCGAGCAAATTATGTTTTTCGAAATATTTTTATTAGATACGATTCACGAACTGTATACATTTTTAGCAAAAAATAAACGGTTCAAACGATGGTGACAATGATTGGCTTAAGAAATTGGTCCCGGTTAGAATGATCTGCAAGCAATCTACACAAAACAACAGTTATTTATATGAAAAACCGAATGAAATGTTGAACATGAACGTATGAAACATCATAGCTACAAACAATTGTCATTAATTT